GCCATTGCGTGACAACAAATCTGCTTCCACATTATCTTTCCCACTTATATGCTCTAGTTTGATTGAGAAGTTTCCTCAGACCTGAGCAATATATATATCTGCAATTATGTTATTTAATAGAGGGTTCTTACAATATCCTGCATAAAATGCTTTCGCATTAGCCAAGTTATCTGTCCAAATTATAAAACGTTTTTGTATCCATAAAGGTGAAAAAGTTAATATCGCGATAAGGGTTGTTAGAAGCTCATGTATTTGGATATTGTGTTTGGTGATGACTATCGCTCTTGACCAGTTAAAAGTGGTGAAGTACATGTCATAAGTTGCCTCGCCACCCAGGTTAGATGCGTCTGTGAATAAGTTTTGAACCTCAGGCCGCAGCCATATCCTGTCTTCTAAGAAATACATGCCAGACCATTCTGGCAATATTTTCAACCATCATATAATATTTGCTTTCATTTGACTTGTCATTTTGATATGGTACTTTGGGTTATTAGAACTTTTTAAAGCCTTGATAAAGCATTGCACAAAAAGTCCGCCTTGGGGTATAATTTGGCACAGCCACATGAGTAAACTAACTAGCGACTGTAGCTCTTTCTTATAGCACTACTTCTTTTTATTCAATTCTGATAGCATTTGTAGGATCTTTGCCTTTTTTAATTCTGTATTGTTGCTGACAATGCTATCGTATCAATATATATTTCTAAAAATGTAAGTGCTGTTTCCGGGCCTTCTAGTTTCGATTGCTTATACAGAATGTTTATTATTGCTAATATTCGAAGAAATTGGTATAATTCTTGCTTTGCCAGACCTTGTGAGATAATTAAAAAATTATTTACGTAGTAGATTATCAATCTGATTCTGTGTTGAACAGCGATCCACGCAACAGCATCTGCAAATTGGCAAAAAATGCCACCTGACGCTCTGTTTCCAAATGCTAGAGCTTTGTCGAAGTATATTTTCTCATCACATTGTAAATCTTGGAGGACCTGGTCTACTTGATGTTCTGGTAATATGCGATAAGCATCTTGAATATCAACTTTTGATAGCATGCAACCTCCCCCATACCGTATTATCCATTCTACTGCATGGTTTATATTTTCATATTTTGTCGTGAATTTAATCTTATCGATCCCATCATTTACACTCGCCCCGAATGGAGAAGATAAATGTGAAATTACACGGTATGCTTGGGGCATAGTATCTTTTTTCTTAACTAGGCCGCACAGGTTGATTTGAAACATCTTGCATAGTGGCTTTTCTAAAGAAAATAGACCACACATACGACCAACTGCTATTTTTTTACTTATATAGCTTTTAAAAGCTGTAGGTTCTATCTCGATTGACTTTAGATTCGCTTGAATCATTGTTGTGCGTTTGCCAGAGAAATTAAAACGGAAACCTTGCTCTAAGCCTCTCATTAAATACTGGATAAACGGGCGGTTTGGATGCTTTTGTGTAAGGTGCTCGAATGCTAACTTATTAACAGGTGTCGTTATATTAAATACTGTTGGGTCTAACTGTGCCGCAATCTCTATTTCTTCCTGTGTGAATTGATTCCTTTTTGGTAGCGATGTCTCAATAGTCGAGTTTACGGATTGTAGCGACGGTTTTGTTTGTGCCACAGTCATGAATACTCGGGATGCTTTAAATTGTGCCAGATATCTCATGCATAGTTTCTGTCTCTCTACCGCATTTGAAATATGTATATTATTATTGATCTTTGTCTCTTCACTCCTTCCCCCCTTTTTTTTTTTTTTTAACTATTTATTATTTTGTAGATTATTCTTCGTTGAATCATTTTGTTTGAACCTATTATTCTTGCGAAAGCAGGTCTTTTCACTATGGACTGTCTTTCTACATATAATACAAGCATGAACTCTGCCGCATTCTCTTTCTCCTGCACAAGTTCTTTTATTTCAATTAATACAGATCTCACGACCAACATGCCATGTAATATCCGGCCACCTAGGTGGCGCCCTTCAATATTAATCTTCTTTGCTGTGGTAAAAAAAAGGTATCACAGATTGGCAACAGAACAAGGATGGACAAACAGCAATGGAACAATATGGCCCATATCAAAAGAAA